ACTGGGGACCGTCTATTCTGCCATCTTGGCTATAACTCAGAAAAACCCACTTACTACTTTAGGTTTTGTGGGAGACTACATGTCACATGTTACCAGTCTCACCAATAATACGACTACATCTGACGTTTCCAAAAAAGAAATTACGTAACTATATATAATGTATAATAGAAACATTTTGCCTATTCTCTAATTCCCAGAGCATGCTCATTCATATATTGACTGACTGACATGTACATAGACGTTCTTTTATCATAGGCCAGAATGTCGACATGATCCCCACTACACAAAAAGAACACAGATGCAAAATAGTGTTAAGGGTTAAGAGATCCCATGTGTGTGTGTAAATCTCTTTGTCCCCTATTATCCATTTGTCTCAACTTTATTCATTTATTATCTGTCTCTCTTCTATTCTCTCTTACAAAAGGCATCACTATTCAGTCTCTCAAGCCAAACCTCATTCTCCTTTGCTACCCGCCCCCCACCTGCAGACATCAATGTTAAGAAGACATCTTCCTAAATTTCTCTGGAATTGGTCTCTTCTCCCTTTTAGTTCCCCTTTGCAAGTCCGTTTCATCGTCAGTCTGGCATGTGAGATTTTATTTGCTCTGCCACTGTTTTCTCTTCTTCACTTGGTGGCGANCACCTGGGCTGTGTAGAAACTCTGATCTGGGCCTGAGTTTTTTCGTCAAACTGCACCCCATACAATTCTGCATTCCCAACCAGTCTCCTCTGAGTGGTCCTGCACTGATTGGGGAGTGGATTGGCTGTCCTTGCTGTGCTCCAGTGTTCTCCTGGTGGGCCTGTCTCCCCCACCACCCGTGCTCCAAGCACTTCCCATGGGATAGGCCCTGCGCTGGTCCGTTGCCTTGACTCACTGGCCTATGAACGGCTCCCCTTTTTCAGCTGTTCTGGCTCCTCGCTCCTGCATGGGTCCACGGGAACCCTGTCAGTGGTCTTGCTGTCCTGGGGGCCATCAAAGTTCTCTTCTTCCCTTCTGCTTCCAAGTAATCCCATCTAAAGGGCACAGCTGTGGCTTCTGCTGGCTCCTGCTCCATGTGCTCCAGCATTAAAGCAGCCATGGCCGGAAACGCTCAGAGCAGTTTTTTCTTTCTCTCATCATGGTTTCTCTCACCTTCATGAACTCCGTAGGTCTCTTCTTCTCTTCACCTAAACTCCAGCGGCCCCAGCTTGGCTGATGTTACATTTTTATAGTTGCAAATTCATTGATTTGTGTGACAGAGTGATACTGGGGACCGTCTATTCTGCCATCTTGGCTATAACTCAGAAAAACCCACTTACTACTTTA